TAGTTTTGGTTCTGCATTACCCCTTCTCACTCGGTGAAAACAGACTGCAGTGATGTTAATGCAAGCCATTGACAGATATGTGACTGGAGGCAGTACAGTACCTTCTCCCTGAGAAGCGTGGGCTGGATTTACCTCTACTCTTTCATTAGCCTGCCCCCACCACAATTACATGTTGACACCACGCACAGTGAACAGAATAATTTGAATACTAAATACATTGCTGGAGGTCTCACTGAACTGCTATTAGAAGCTGTCAAAAAAGCAAACAAAACATTGTTATTTTCCGCCAAGTTTTTATACAGCCTGAAAACATAATGCCATTATATAAAAATCAATGGCCTACCTTGCTTAAGAACAGTGTGTTCTGCTCTAATCAAGCTCTCTCTTATGCACAGTATAAAGTATTTGGAGAATGGTGATGGAACCATGAGGCATACGATTGCAAGTTATTTGTGAGGCACAGACTGCTTGGGAAAGGGGTACTGGGGAACAGCATCAGAAGGTTTGGCCGTACCAGTAGACAAAGGGGAATTCACATACCTTCTCCTACACGAGAGGTAGGAGCACCTCCCAACAAAACTGACCAGCAACCATGTTAAAAATTGCAACACAGTCAAGACCCACAGAGCTCGGCAGCGCAAGCTGTCCTAGTACACCTGAGATTGTTAAAGGGCCCTGCATTCACACCATTAAAATAATCGTATCGCACTAGGTAGGATAATACGCATTTCAGTAACAGCAGAAGAACTCAGAAAAACAGGCCAGCTTCTTGGCAGTGGCTAGGAAGAAGCCTCTGCTGGGAACAGGTTACTTCATCATTGCCTCTTACAGGTCTTCTGCAGCACCCTGTGAGCCCCGCTCCAGCATTACCCCTCCTCTCAGCGTGGAAGTGGTTGGGCCATGCACCGGTCTCATCCCACTGAGCAACCCCACGGTAGTCATGGCCCACAGAATGCAGGAGTTACTTCTGATTACAACTAGCATAAACAATGGTTTCAGAAGAGGATTCGTGGGACAGTGGAAGAGTTTTAAGATCAAAGGACAGAGGTAAGTGGGAAGTGCTGAACTGCACACACAGCATGGAAGAGCCGAGGAATTTCTGGGAACATGGAATAAAAACTTCCAGAAACCAACAATTTCCCAAGGAACCAGTGCATTTACATGAATAGGCTGACTCTTTGCAAGAACTGGGAAAGACACAAATCCCAAAGGACAGAAAAAGAAATCCAAAACTTTCTTACCCTGGGCTGTTAATATGAGAACTGCTGACACGAGCAGCTAACGTGTCCGACCTCAAGTGTCCTCAAACTTGAGCTGGAGCTGCTAAACCAAGTTAGTCTGCCTCTCTTGCTAGTTTAGTCTGTTGTAGTTAATGCAGGTTGGTCAACTTCAACATTAAAGACTCTTTTTTTCATTTTGCATTGGAAACCTATCCTCATATAGTATGTTTCATTTAAGACAACGTTAATATAGTAGGTAATTGGCAGGATAGATGTCAACTTAAATTTAGGGTTTTGTTTTCTCCTCATGTAAAGCATCCTCTTCTAAAGTTTCCAGTATCCCAGACAAAACAGCATCACTTTTCTTTCCTGCCTCGTGATCCAACTCAAAAAAAAAACAACCATAAGCTTAAAACCTGAGTACGCAACGAGTCATGAAGACCTACATCTCTCAGCACAAAAGGTTCGCTGGTTCAAAGTCAAAAGCAGATGAAGAGAATTTTTGGGGTCAAAAAACTCAACATAATAAAGCTAGCAGTTTGGGTCTTTTTAAGGCCTGAAGAACACTCCTGATAATGCACTTTACCGTGCTCTTTCTGCTTAAGGTTAAAGCTAGGTGTTACGCATCTGCCACAACAAACAGCATTACCAGAAATGAGTGGAAACGACACGGACTGGCTGAAAACTGAAAAAAACTTTCAGTCAGAGGTCACCTCGCAGGAAAGATGACCCAGCACGCATGCAAGACAGCTTACCTTTTTTTAGGTTAAGAATTACTACCAATCAGTACAGTGAAGTGTGCTCTACTAAATACAGGCCTCTATCAAACATGGATCATTTCTCCTCAAGAAGTATCAAGATAGGGAATGGGTTTCAGCCAACAGCCTGACAAGGCTGCACAAGGAAAGCATTCACCACTGTGAGTGCAGAAGAGCACCACGAATGAAATGTAACCTTTTCTGCCACCAGAGTGAAAACCGGAAGAGCAGACGGTCAGTATACCAAGCACCACAAAATTAAGCTCTGTGTATACCATATTTGTAATAGCCCCAACACTATAGCACAACAAATGATGCATTCCAACAGTCTAAGCAGCATGTTTAGGATTCACACTTACCCTCTGGAGGAGTTGGACACCCACATGTACTCCAAGACAGGATACATGTATTGTACCAGAAGCACCACCAGCATTCAAATCCCAGCCAAGACTGATACAGATTAGATCTCCACATATTGGTCTGTCTTCTGAAATGTTACCCATTAGATACCACTAGGAGGTCAGGACTCAACTTGTAAGGCTGGTTACTTGCTTGTCATGTTCTTTGGTAGATTAGCTAGGCCATGATACAGGTATAAAGCTCGAGTTTATCTGGATGGTGCTTGAATTTGCCAGTGTACTTCACAGATGACCTGTTTGCAAGAGTCTACTACTTTAAAACAAACAGATTTCAAATATCTTAAACTTTTGATTTAGCAGGCGCATTACTTTACGTTTCAGAAGTTCACCATCTGCTGGGTTTACCTTTTAAGTCTCTCTGCACTCCGGCTGCGCAGCCATCTGGGATGAGATAATTTGAACAGCAGACTGTTTCCTCCCATGTTACTAGAGAGGAAGAGCAGCCAAGCATGTATGAATAAAGTCTATTTCATTCTTTCAAACAAAGGTGGAGGAGGATGATTTGAAAGTTTGTTGGTTTTTTTTTTTTTTTTTTTTTTAAAAAAAAGAGGGGGAAGGGAGGAAAACTAAAAATGGCAACCCCACTTTCTGTCTTCAACTGCACCATGACTACCAGAGCTGAGTCACAGTTACTATTGATTATAAATAAGCAGGAGAGAACAGAGCCTGACTTACAGATCCCAAGGTAAATTTGCAAGGCTGGCAGCTAGAAAGCTTTTTCATTTGCGAAGCAAAAAAGGGAGAAGTGGAATCAGAGCAAAACAAAAGAAGTTCAGTCTGTATCTACTGAGCTGTTTTTCCGACCGGAGCCAGCTAAGGCATTAGCATCTCTCGTCCATCAGCTGGTGCGAACCAGGCAACGCCACTGAGGTTAAGTGCACCTATATGGCCTCAGGATAATCCATGTCTTCTGCATTTTCTGTAAGAAAAATCTTGTTAAGATACCGAAATGCCAGCATCTTAAGGTAGATGGACACAGAAGGATCCTTAATTATCCAGCATCTTTAAAATGTATCCTTTCACTATCGAATGTCTTTGAAACAGTGCATCCCCTACGCTATTTTTTTCTAGAATAAGTCACAGTCAATCCAAATCCTTTGCTACTCAAAATACCTCAACAGGCACGGGAGGCACTGAGAAAGATTGTTAAAAAACCCCAAACCCTCCAGGTTTCTATGTTGATCAAGAAGTTCGCTTTCTTCAGCATGGTAAAAAAGTCAGGAGGCATGGCAGAAGTGGCAACACTTAGAAGTTGCACTGTGACAATTCCCCTGCAAGGTCCTCAAAAGGGAGCTGTGCAACCATTTAAAGAAGAAGTAACTCCACTCTGCAGAAATAACACTTACTGTGTCATTGTCAACTCTTTCTAAAATCTTGACAAGCCCATGCTTCAGGCACGCTGCTTGTCTTGTTAGAGGGAAGCACCACAACATACATCCTACACTTTGTCAGAAGAGTAATTCTCACCCAAATTCATTGCAAATTTGCATGACAGCACAAAGGTGAATTTGGAAGCAGGCAATAGAAGGCTCTGAGGCTTGTGTGCCCCCAATTGCGCACGGCTTCACTCATTTTGTAATACTAGCAGCAAAACTTTGGTTAGCTGGCCGGCAGCAATTCTTTTTCCACCTGCTAAGGATCAGTTAACTCTGAAGTACTATCACGCACAAGCATATTAAAGGTACTCATTCTCCACAATAGCCAGCCCTTTGAGGAAACTACTCATTGAAATCATTTCAAGTAACAGTAAGTGGAAGGAAGAACAGAGATTACACACTCCATACACAGTGCTGGGGACCACAGAGCAGCCAGCAGCAGAGCCCACACCCTGCCCTACAGATCCACCTCTGGCTCATCCTGGTCTTCTCCAGGAGTGCTGTTCCTGGAGCAAACCATGCTTCAGCATCCAGTCTCTCACTCCTCATAGAAAAAACATAAAACCTTCTTGCTGAAATTCTCTCAAAAGGCAAGTCTGAAAAGACAGGGGATTAGGAAGCGATCGATGAAAACTGCGGCAAAGCAACAATTTACCCAGCAGGGTTGTCTCGATAAAAATCTGCTCACTGACAATTTCTCTCTCACCTTTGTTATTTAAGTCCATCCGTTCCCTGCTATTTCGGCCTCTGAGTGCCGGCTGTCAGAGGCCCTACCCAATCCAAAGGCCCCGCGGGGACACACAACCCCAGCGCCCCGCACAGTGCTGGACGCCGGCGCTCAGCAGGCAGGCGCTGCTGCTCAGGGAAAGCTCAAAACCCACATACCTTGTAGTGCTGCAAACACACACCAGGAGGAAGTGACGGAGACAAGTTTCATCTATTCCTTGACCGTCAACAAACGGAGGAAGACAGACCGTAACTGTTGTCCCTAGGGCGTTCTGAAATAAGACCTCACTCCAAGGGAAAACAAGCTCAGTTCAGGATTAAACGAACAGAAGTGCCTTGCAAGGAGCACACAGCTGCCTACAGACCAGACTTTTAGGAGCTGCAAAAGCCTACCCCACCTGGCCTCTAGGCCAGCTGTGATAGTAAGGAAGAGCAAACAGTCATCTGGCCAGCTGTGTGATGCACACTGAAACAACTGGACTGGATAAAGACAACAGTTCATTTTTGTAAGAAACAATATATTTTATTTTTCTGACACCACAGCCCTGGCGAGTGGTTTTGTACCAAATTTAATGGAGGTTACACAGAACGTTTTACGCTGGGGAGGAAAAAAAAAAAAAATAACCACAAAAAAAATCCTGGATAACTTTTAGTGTCTGTTCCACTCCCACATTAATAAAATCACTTGGGGTTTCTAAGAAAAGGAGAATAGGAAACAGTGAGAGAGACTACTGTAGGATGTAACAGTGTCCAAGTCCAGCCCCTTCCTAAAAGTGGGAAGAGTCCCCACATGAGGAGAGGCTCTCCTAGATTTACTCCCCAAAATAACACAATGTATTGCAGCTGCCATAGGAGGAGACAGAAGGGGGACGGAGAGAGAGAGAGAGAAGCCTATTTAATAAAGAGTGGGAGGGAGAGACAGAAGGTGCTGGACAGCACGCCATAATTTGAAAAATATGTCCTTAACTTATTATTTATTTCTTTTAAAAGATTCCCCTCACCGAACTTAAGTTCCTTTTTGTGCTTTTCATTAATACTCTGCTCTGAGGTCGTAGTTTGGTTTTTCTATACATTGGAGTTGAAGGAAAATAGTCCGAAGTTCTGAAGATGGATTCTCCACCTAAAGTAAACAGCCTAGAATCCCATTCTCCTCTCACCCCAAAGACTAAAGTCTCTGCTAAAATCCCTTTTACAATATAGTACAGTACACAAAAAACCCCAAAAATAACCGAGAGTCCTGGGAGAAGCCAGTCCGAAGGACGTAAACATACAGAGAATGGTGCAACTTGTGACAAATGGCAATTCTCAAAATACAGCTACAGATTCTCAAAGCAGGTGCCGTCACGGGATACCCAAGTCCACAAAAATAATTTTTAAAAAATAAATCTTAAAAAAAAACCAACCTGTTAAAATGAATAATTTTTTTTTTTTTTTTTTTTTTCAGGTAATTCCATACATTCGAGATTTCCCAAAGCATCCTCTGGTCTCTTTTCACCTATTGCATGGCCAAACGGTACTCCTGAAGCTCCCGAAAAAGCCCTCAGGACTTGGAATCTCATCTTGACAAGGATCAGAACATCCAGTCTTACGGTAGCAGCTTAAAACATCATGTTCCCTGGGTTTCCAGGGCCTTGGCTAAATCCTCCCATGCCAACGTCAGCAGCCATACCTCGGGGCCTCATCTGGGGGGGAATCATGATGTTTTGTTGGGGTCCCATCATGCCCTGCATTGACATCATCATGCCCGGTGACCCTACGGGGCCCGGGTGGCTGTACAGCCCCGCGGGGGCTCGGTCCTTGCCTGGGATCATGCCCACGGCGGCCACGGGGTTGCTCATTAGCGCGGGCTGGCCAGGCATCGCCGTTTGTGCTGGTGACATCATGCGGTGGTGCGGCCCCATCATGCCTTGCTGCAGGAAGGCAGGCGGTCTCATCGGGTTATGGCCGGGCATGGCCGGAGCCGTCCCGAGAGGGATATCCGGAGTTCCCACCGGCCCGGGGCCCCCCATGCCAGGCAACGTTAGTCCCATCCTCGGGGTCTGCTCTCCTATCATCCCCTGCATGTGGGAGAACCCCGGCCCAGGACCCTGCGGCTGCTTGCGGCCTGGCACCTCCCCACGAGGGAAATACTGTAGTGTCTGGCTAGGCTTCTCCGACGGGATAATCCGGGACAGGTCGAACTCGGGTATTCCCGTGGCTCCAGGACGGATCACCTCCTGCAGCTCTGGATCAGTGAAAACCGAAGGCATATTGTTTCCAAGAACAGTGAAGGAGTCTGGACCGCCAGGGCCTCCAGTCTTGCAAAGTGCTGGATCTGTCGAACTTTGGGGCAGGTTGGTAGGACGCCCCAGGGGTCCTTCTCCGTGGAAGCCCATTCCCGCTGGGAAGTTGCCTTGTCCACCGCTGGGCCCGTTGTGTGGAAATGGCACCTGCTGTGGAGGGGACTGTACGGGAGGGAACCCCTGTGGGAAGCCCAGGCGTCCTTGAGGTACCATTGGAGACTCCTGGGAACCGTGCCCCATCATCGGGTTGTGTGACATCAGGCCGGGTCCCACGGGGACCCCGTGAGGAGGTATATTGGGTCCCATAGCATTTGGAGAGGGCATCTGGTTGTTATGGGAAAGAGGCTGGGTCATTCCCATTGGGCTAAGAGTTGGCATTGGACCCACTGGGTTTGGACCTGAAATTCGAGGATTCTGAGAATTAATGCCCATTCCTAGGGAAGAAATAAGGAATCACATTTAGATAACGGACAATAATAATCAATAAAGCTATCAGAGAGCTTTCCGCAAGGTTACCAAGTCCGCACGCACACATACAAAAAAAAAAAAAAAAATCAATGCTAGTTTAAAAAAAAAAAAAAAAGGCAAAAAACAAACCAGTATCAGTAGTGGCTCTGGAAAATGTGATTTTAACCAGAAAATTGATGCCACCTGCACAGCTGCCTCTCTAAGCTTGTCACTGCTGGATCAAAAAATGACTAAAGCCTGCTCTGTAAGTAGGATCTCAATCCAGCCCATACCTTTACTACTTCCCTGGCAGGCTAGATGACACAGGCAGTAGCAAACATGTCTGTGACAGATTATCAGCATATGGACACTCGTCCACTGGGAAGTGACTGAATCTCCTTTCAAAACTCAAGAAGTGATAAATCAGGTAACCCTTGTAAGACTAGGAGGTGGCGATCAATGAGGTTAATGAGCTATCATCAAAAATTTATTCAATTAGCCAGCTTCCCCAGGTATATTCAGTCACTCTGATCATTACTGCGTGAAACAAACAGCAAAGCTACAGGTAAACTCATCAGGAATTCATTACCAATTGCCACTCTCATGAAACATCCACTCATCCCCTCTTTCAACTGTGTGAATGGGCTACAGCCTACTTTCGTACTAAATGTGCACCCATGAATATTAAGCTATCAGCAGGGATTGGATTTCTCATATAAACATGCTCACCCACAAGACAGCCCCAAAGGACAATGTTTTATTTTACGTTTCCTTTAACTCTCAGGTAGGGACCCGGACACTTTTCCTCAGTTCTGGCTGAGGTCACCTGCCATTGCACACTCCCTATATGAAAAGATGTACCTTTTGAGAAAGCACTCTAACATTCTCTTCTATAACAAAGGCAATACACAAAACCCAGGAAAAGACCAGATGATTGAATCAGTGTCCAAAAAAAAAAAAACCCACTGAACCAAAAAAAACCTGTGAAGCTTCTACGGCACTGCCTTAAGACAGGGGAAGAATGGTTTCCTCTGGAAAACATGTTGTAGGTCTGACCCTTATTCCCATGAGCAGCCTTCACTCACACATGTAATTCCAGTCTGCCTAAATGGAAATCTCTCCAATACATAAGGGTTTTCCAGATTAGACACTTTCTGAAGAACAGGCACTTTCTGGACAGAAAAAAAAAATGGTTGCAAGGAGGATTTCCGTCTCTCCATTTTAGAGATTTGCAACTGCCTTCCTCAAAAACAACCCCTGGCTATATATTCTTCAAGTTTTTTCCCTATCTTCACCTGATGAAGCTGCTATAAAAAGCATCCTCACTGTATTGACTGATAGCTTGGGCTTCTGGTCCTTTGAGTTTCTTACCTGGTACGCTGTTCATAGGTGGCAAGTTTGGGGAGCGCGCTGGAGGGGAGTCATCGTCCGAGCTGGCCACAGTTTTGATGGCATCATGATAGAGCGGTGTAGAGCTGGGCATGGCAAATTTGGACATCCTGGACATCATAATGGAGAGGGGATTCTGGGAGAGGGTCGGCTCTGGAGGCATTGTGTAAGGACTGCTAGAGGGAAGATTTCCAGGGAGAGTCACAGGAGCAGACTGGCTGACTGTGGAAGGAGGTGGACCACCTTAGGGAAAAAAAAAAAAAAGAAAAGAAAACGAGAGAAAAAAAACACTTTAATTTTTTTCCCTTCTTACTATCTTTTCCTTAAATCCCATCCTTTTCTCCGAGAAATTTTAAAAACTAGAAATCCCTTTTACTGCAAGAGACCATCTGACTAATTCAGTCAATGTCTGCAAAAGGTAACCAGACAAATAAGCCTATTGGTCAAGATGGTTAACACTTGTTATCCTGGATTCGGCACTTCCACTGGAACTATCTTGAGTCTCTACAAATCCCTACGAGTAATTAGCACTTAAGTCTGAGAATCCTACTATTCAACTTCCATACACTGAAGACAGACTTAAGTACCAGGTCTAGCCATAAAAATCAGAATCTATAGTCAATTAATTGTTCCTGCACTCACCAAATGTCAACTGTAACTCTTTTCCCTTTTTCTTTAGGAGGTAAACAAGCACAGAAGACACGGGCAGCACAACAAAAGCTGTAGCAGGTACTATGCTGAGACATGCGAGCAGATCTCTGACAAGCTCGATCAGCAGCAACAAGTAAAACTTCCTGTTTATGTTTCATTTCAGGTTTTATGTGCATGTATTTATTGCTCATTCCAGTTAAAGAAGCCTTCTCTGCACCTATTAGCTTAACATCATCCTTTGCTCTCCCAAAACTAGAAATAACTGCACTTCCAAACTCCTTTGTTCTTCACAGGTGAATTTCATGCTACTCAGACCACGTGTGAAGGAAAGATGCTAAACTGAAGCTGTAGTCACTAAAAATTCACCGCACATTCCTCAGCCTCCCCACCCCCCCTCCGACAAGAAAAAGGAGAACAGAGAATACAAAAACCCTGCAATGCCAACACATTCATGCTTCGGAAGAGCTGCACGTAAAAACATTCGTTAAGGAGAACATCAAGCACGGACTAAAGCACTCCAGGTTCTGACCTGGAGGCGCTTGGGCTCACGCCGGGCAGGGCCTCAGCAGCCCCGAGTGACACCAACACCCAGGCTTGGCCCTTGCCAAGCACAGAGCCCGGGGCGGCAGCTGGTGTGAGGGGTTACCCACCGGCTGCTGGCCCTGCTCCAGCAGGTACCCCCAGGGCTGGGTACCCCCAGGGCCGGGTACCCCCAGGGCCGGCCACCCCCAGGGCTGGGTACCCCCAGGGCCGGCCACCCCCAGGGCCGGGTACCCCCAGGGCCGGGTACCCCCAGGGCCGGCCACCCCCAGGGCCGGCCACCCCCAGGGCCGGGCACCGCGCTGTAGCCACAGCGGCACTAGAGGGCAACGTGGGCAAAGGGCTCCGCTCCAGGGCCCAGCGGCCGCCGGGGCTTTGGGAGGCCCCGATGTGCGCCAGGGTGAGCTCCGGGAGGGCTGGGCAGCGGGAAGGAGAGGGCAGAGGCGTCTGCCAACAGCCCAGGGATGTTCAGGGGCGGGGAGGGTAGCACCAGCAGCTGCACCCCGAGGTCCCGGGCGTGGAACGGATCCAGCACGCCACCGAACGCTACATACGGTGGCGTTTAGCTCTCTCCAAAATAGATCAAGCCTGAACAAATGTTAGCACACCTCCCTGTCTGTAGTGGCAAACCTAGAAAGCACTAACCATACCTAGATACGCAACTGTCTAACTATGCTCAGCACGCCTTTGTAGGAGCCTTTTATCTCAAGGTGTTTTCGTGACATCAGCAAGATCTTCACAAAGCTAGAACCACCAGGAACTACGGCAGAACACCCAAAAACCCATCCGAGGAGAGATTTCTCCCATCAGTACTCCACATCTCGTCACACCCCTTGACCCCACCCTTTCACTTTCATGTCCTCCGAGTGACCAGCCCTCACCTCGACACACAGGAGTTACGGTGCAAACCCACAAATACAAGAGGAGGAGGAGGAGGAAAAGTACTTGCGCTCCACTCACGTAGCCACCCACCAGGCCCTCTGCAGAGCCCCCCTCACAGGGGCAAAGCAATGTCTCGCTTCTGCCACCCTGCAAGCAACTTGTGGCACACCCCAGGGTAACCCGACGCAAACCAAAGAGCCCAATCCAGCTAGCAGAGGCAGCACTCACCCGACTCTACGTTCCCCAGCATGGCTGGAGAAGACATGGTGAGAGATGCCTTGTGGTTCGGGGGAATCCCAGGGCTCTGCAAAGGAGGCTTTGGAGATGAAGTCCATCCGGGAGAAGGTGCAGGGAGAGACGGAGACTTGAGGTGGACAGGAGAAGCAGCAGCAGACCCCAAGACAGGGGGGGACTTAATGGAGGCAGCGGCAGCTGCGGCAGTGGGGCCCGCAAGCATTCCTGCCAGCTGGGAGGGCGTCTGAGGGGACTTGAGGTTCCCCGAGGGAGACCCCATCATGGGAGACTGGACCTGGCGCATCGTGGGGGACTTCAGGGGGTTGATTCCTGGCGAATGCACCTGACCGGCTGCAGAGATGTCCAAGGGCTTGCGGCCGAGGCTGCGCTGCGCAGGGGGAGCAGTGTTGAGGCTATTAGGGTTACTGGCGGGATTGAGAGGTAGTGGCGGCATGTGGCTGAGCCGGTTGTTAGTCCTTTGGTCAGACCCAATCTGTTCTCTGAGATTTCGGAGACCGACTCCTGGGCCCTGAGACATGGGAAGGAAAGGCCTGGGACCCATGCCATACTCCTGCTGCGGGTGCTCCCCAAACGGCAGCGGCACCATTTTCTGCTGAGAGGAGAGCATCTCCGAGACGCCGGGCCGCAGTTTCATCATCTCTTCCGGCCCGACTCCTGCCTCCCTCAGCTTCTGAGGGACCAGGGGTGGGTTGGTGCCCATGCTGACATTCATGCCCATGTCCCCCTTCATGCTGCCAGGGCCCATCCCGAACTCCAGCTCCCTGCTAGAGGCCATTTGTGGGGGTATTCCTTTTGGGAAGTCCCCCCTGGAGGGGCTCATTGGCCCTTCCACTGGCATGCGAGGGAAGATGGGGTTGTTCCCAGGCTCCATGTGTCTCTGGGAGGGCATCATTCTGTTTATCTCCATGCCAGGCCTGATGCCTTCCATGTTCAGGCCAGGAGGGAGGCCCATCTGTTTCTCAGCCAGCTGCTGCTGGTAGAGCTCTTCGGGCAGGCCCTGCGGATTGGGGAACCGCTCCCCTCGGCCAGGGCCGCTGAAGACGCCCTGGCCGGGAGGGAAGTTTCGGCCATCTGGGATTTTTGGCACATCATCTGGCCAACTAACTCCCGAAAGCCCAGGCCGGGAGGCGGGATTCGGGACACTGGGGCCCTCCATGTCAGGGTTCATCATTCCTGCAAAACCAGGCAGGCGCATCTGGCTCCCGGGCACGTTGGGATGAGGGGCCATGCCCCTGGGGGGCAGAGAGTGCGACATGTTCATGCCTTCAGGGAAGGGCTCTGGACCCCCAGGTCCCCAGCCCTCCCCAGGGGTCATCTGGTAGGGAGGAGGAGGGCCTCGGACTACCCCACGGGGCCCATGCTGATGGACCATCATGTCCTGCAGGGAACACTGCTGCACAACCACCTGCTCTTGCTTTCTTCTCTTCTCCTCGTAAAACTCCTGCTGCAGCTTGAGCCAGGCCACCTGCTCAGGAGTCATGTGGTCCAGGTGGTCTGGGCCTATGGGTCCTGACTGGGAGTTCATTGGTGGTGGCCCCATTTCGTCTGGGGAAAAAGGCATGTCCCTGTGTCCTTGAGGGCCAAACGGAGCCCCTCCATCTGTCCGAGACCCTGACCCTTTGCCTAAACTTTGGGATTGAGCCATCATGGCCTGTATCGGCCCTTCAGGTTTCTTTTGGGGACCATCCAGCACCCCAGCATTTGGGGGTGGCCCCCCACTTTGCCCTCCCGCAAACTCCTTCTCATCAGGGAAGAGCATGCGCTGTATGTCTCTCAGGGTCTGCAACGAGCGCTCTCGATGCTCCAGCTGCTCCTGTGACAGTCCATCTGGATTCTCGCCCAAACTGGATGGGTCCCCACCAGACACCTGCTGGGGAGGACCTTTGGGGTCTGCAGCGGAGCTATTGCTACCTTGGGAAACTGGGCTAACTGCTCGATTATTTGGGGTTGAACTCTGCCCAAATCCTTCTGTCTGCAACGGGGTAGAGTTGGCAGGGCTGCCCACAGACATCACTTTGCTTTCCACACTGGGACTGTCCTGATCTATGGGACACGGGGGGCCAGTGGATTTGGAAACCGGCGCTGACACGGGTGGAGTCGGCTGCATTTTGGCGTTCTGGGAAGGGTTCTGGTCCTGGGCAGCGGGGGGCTGGGGCTGCGGCAGGGGCTTGGGTTCAGTCCGAAGTGCAGTGATCTGGGGGTTCTGCAAGAGAAAGCCACATGCTGTCACTCGCTCTTCTTACAGCCGTGTCACAAAAGCAGCAGTGCAAATGAAACGCCCTGTGTCTCAACCCCTCCAGCCCACACCTTGCAAGGAAGGGTAGCCTTCATGCAGCAATTAGAGCAGCATCTGGGGTACGCAGAAACCTGTTTTGCTCAAGCATTACAGCAGGTACCCCTTGCTTCTGTGCTAGCTCTGCATGAGCAGTGGGTCAGAAATATACTATCCAAATACTGCAAGACTCAAGCTCGTCTCTGGATGATCCGAGACCTTTATTTGCAGAAGGCTAAAACAACAACTGTCTCCCCCTCTCTCTCTTCCACCCTAAAACTTATTTCAGAGTGTGAATAATCATCCACCTCTCTGAATCAGACACACACAAGCACGTTTACCATTTCCCTTCCCACCCACATGCAGGTATTCCCTACCAAGGGTACAGTGTTTCGTTCTGCCTTGCTGTTTGAGATGTTCTGGATATGAAAGGACACGATGGTTTCCACCTGTCCCTTCAGCACAGCTTCTGCAGCCCTGCAAAGACAGACAGATAGATGCACATATCCAGTCAAAGCTAAGAATCAATTTTTCCTTACCGCCCTCCCTTCTATCCTTCGGCTGGCAGAAGGGAGAAAGACTTAACCACACATATTTCACTCCAGATGAGTAGCAAAAGAAAAATGCTTACATCTACGAACTCATCAGCATTCAGGGTTCATGTCTCAGTTTAAGCCATCCTGGCTGCTACTCACTGCATGGATTGCAAAACAATATCAAGCTGCATTTGCCAAAAAAACCAAACCCACACCTTGGAGGAATAAAAAAAAAATTAAAAATCACTTCTCAGAGGGCAAGAGGTAATGACATTCTCCAGTTCAGCCCCTTCAGCATCCCTCAAAATAAGTAATGACCTTTTGCTACAAGAACACACTTGATAGAGAAAGCGCACTTGAGAATCTCTTAAAAAGGGAGCACAAATATAAGCCCTGCTCCCTGAAGACATTCAGGCATCTACCTACTTACTTGTTGGCCATCTCAGTAGAAAAGACGTAAACCACTTTGGATGGAGTCTTCTGCCCACTTGCTGGCTCCAAAGCGGCAGACAGGCCATGGGAAGGTGTGGAAGACCTTGGGGCTGAAGCACTTGAAGGAGTCATGGAGTGTGTTGTGTGCTGAGACTCCTGGGACTTCACATGATCAGCAGAATTGCAGTCTGGAAGGGGAGAAAGAGGAAAAGAGGGGAATCACTGCCTTGGGAGCTCTTCGGAAACCATTTCTGGAAACTGGTCAGAGCTTTTCCTCCTCTGAAATTTCCCACTTCTCCCTCAAGCACCACGAAAGGCAATTCTTTAATTACACCATGCATCTTCCCTCTAATGCCATGCTGCCCTTCAGGCAACCTCTGGAAGAAAACTCATCGTGTCCCTTTCCAAGGCAAGTGGCAGTTCCCAGAGCTGATCCTTCTGAATTTTCTAATGGCCACGCAGAATAGCAGGAAAACTACACACTAAAACGAACAAGCATAAATATGTCTGTGCCCAAGAACCCTCTGTGCAAAACTTTAATTTTTTTTCCTTCAGCCACCTTAACCAGGTGACCTAGCAAATGGACAGTAAAGGAACGATGGACAACTGCACATCTAGTCTGTTTTTACACTGCTTCACAGAGGTAATGTTGGAGCCAGGAACAGAACACAGAAAGCCCAACTCTCTGGCTTGTGTTACCAGTCAGGGTGCTATGTGTTATGTATCTGTGTTGACAAAACAGGCTTGCATATTGTTCAAACCTCCAGTTACAACAGAGCAGTTCCTGAAAGGCCAAAGGCCAGAAGGAAACCAACAGGTTGCATTTGTACTTTCAAATCCTCTGGGGGAGTTTCAGAGTTACAAAGAAACTTTCCCACCAGAGTCAGGTCTGCACTTTAGCTTAGCATGAACAGGACGTTTACCGATGCCAGCTATGACAATCTCTCCTCTTCGCCTGCTCTCAAGACCTTTAGACTTCATTGGCTGGAACTTAGAGAACATCAGACAAATAAATGTTTCGCTAACACTTGCATAGCGATTCTCCATCTCAGAGAACTCAGACTAATTGTCTGCACTTGCACACGAACCCTGGCAAACGTACCTTTGATTTCAGGGTCGTCATTAGGAGTCCCAGCTTCCCTCTGCTCAAAAGAGTCTGCCGAAATGCTCCTCTCTCTCTTCCCCTTCCCCTTGGCACCATTTCCAGCCCCGTTCTTCAGCCCCATGCTCCCACCTGGGCCAGGGAGCACTTTGGGGGGGTGACCTCCACTTTTGGGGTCACAGGGAGAGGGCTGGGATTGGCTGGTGGAGCCCCCTTGTTTGCCCTGGTTGGAAAATTTGGAATCCAGCTGGGGGTTGCCAGACGGGGACATCACTGTAGGGGGACGGACCATCACCTCCTGCTTTGATTTGGGGCTACTGGGGACAGAGCAAAGAAAGGAAAAGGAAAAAAAAAAAGTGACAAATCACACCATTGATTCATTCAACCCTGTAGGAACAGATTAGAGAGAAGCAGAAACAACCACTGCCACCTTTGCAAGCTAAGACAATTGCTGACAAATAAAAAATGCCTGCAAGCTTAGAGTCATGCAGGTGCTTTTTTGAACATGCCCTGAAAGGGTTATTATCCAAGATGGGATCTCATTGCTCAAGAAGGCACCAGGGCAAGCAACAGACCTGCCAGATCCCAGGAACTGCTGTCACATGAGGACCTACCTCTGGGGCTTCTGTCAATAAAGACAACGGTTTCTATGTGCACAGAGAAGCGCCTCACACCAAGACCAGCTCAGAGTAAACAAACAAGGCACAATAAAGTTCACCTCACCACTCTCCTGGACCCCAACTATATGCTGCAGCTCTGAACAGAGCAGAACCCCCCCACCTCCTCCCTTGCACCTCCCTATCCAGTTCTACAGGGAGCACAAGGAAAACCCAGCATTACTGCAGCATTCATCATACATTGGGGCGAGCTGCCAGGAAAACACAAACCTCTGACCGTGAAAACAATTAAACCAGCTACAACCTGCCTCTGAATAAGGAAAGAGAAGGATACCATCTCCCTGCACACTCCTGCAAAACAGGGCAGATGAAGCTTCTTTAATTTGCCAAAGGAGATTTAGCCTTTCCTTCCCTCTTCCATTCAGCAAATTGCATCCTAAAAATATTTTTCTCCTCTGGGTTTTGCAGAGGTATTAGCCACCCCTTCCCCCTCACCCTGCAGTTACTCCATTGCTAGCGCATCTTCTGCATTGTGTTTTCCCATCATCACTACCACTTCCAACAGGCAGCACTTGCTAGCATCCTCACTGCGGGATCCGCACAAGCCGTTTCTTCCTCTGGACAGGCATCTGACTCAGTGGCACTGCCTCTGAATTACTCTTAAGCTCCAGATGACCTCTAGGAGTAAATAAGCAAACCCAAGAATGCTGTCAATCAGACCATCGTGAGTCCCTAGACACTGCTTCACTTCCCTATTTTTCTCCTTCCCAATCAGCAGAGGAGAGATGCTGACCTGCTGCACTGGCAGGTGAATGATGCAGAGGATCTCAGTGCACAGCTGATCAGTTCTCCAGGCTGTTCAGGCCAGTAATATGGAGGAAGCATTTTGTGTGAAAGCACAGGCAGAGAGACCTTCTGCTGCCCAACTATCCCTCAGGGAAATGGATAATTAGAATTGGGGGGAAAAAAAAAAAAAAGAAAAAAAAAATAGAAACAGCATGTTTACTCTCCTACAGCCTATTCAGACACGAGGGAGGAGGGCGTGAGGAATGGAGCACTCGCACCTCACGGGCTGACAGCTTTCAGCTCACCCCGAGCCTAGCAAATGTGGAGGCTCGTCAGCACTGTGCAGCCAGTGCTCAGGTACTCGGCAGGTCCGATGGGAGCACAAGGGAGGACCAGTAAGTCACATGCACCAGTCCTTGGCTACTCCTGCAGCAGAGCAGGACAGCATCATGCACCAATCCAGAGCAGCTAACTGCGGGCTCCTCTCCTTACCTCTGTGTGTTGCCTGACGGGGAGTTCCTCACTTTGGGGTTACTGGAATGCATTGACAGAAATCCTGAGCTCACAGTCCCACACGCACGCAGATGGGCTCTCGTCAAGTTCCTCTGGAGAGCGTGCCGCCAGAGGCAGCGTCGAAGCCCTTTCTGCCACCCGCTTCTCTCAATGCTGGCTGCCCGCTTGCCTTTTTTCTCTTTGCTCCTCGCTGGTTTTGCACTGGGTGCTTCCCTCCTGCAGCTCCAGCATTCTCTAGACGCGTGCCTCCTGCTGCCCAGGGGAAGTCTCGCATCTCCAGGGCACACTGCTAAAACCGGCCCACAAGAAGAGAACAGAAAACCAGTGAGAGACTTCCCAAGCAGATGTGTCTGGTGTGAAGCAGTAAACGGCAATTCTTCCCCCATTACTGAGAAGACACAGGAGAAAAGTTTTCAGATGGCTCAGCACACCTGTGTATTTCAAACCGGAGACAGCCCTGGCTGGCCAGTCAGTTTGCAGGCAGTGAGGCCACCTTCCCTTTATTCAAAGCAAATCACTCTGGAGTCAACAAAACAGGGAAGCGCTTCATATCTGGACACTTTGAATCCGCATCTGTGCTCAGCTTGAAGACACCTCACAGACAGTCAGTAGGAAGCCAAAATTACAAATCCCCAACATGACTTAGCTATCCAGAATTCCCCTGTGAATGGCCATAATCTGATATTTCTTAAGAACATAAACTGCTCAAATCTTTTCTGTCTCCTTGGTCCAATATAACTAGACATATGTTCAATGATGTGTGCTAAGGTTTGCACAAAGGGAGGAAAATAAAATAAAATGCCTTCTTGACCACCTGTAAGCAACCAGCTATGCTGTGATTACTCCAAAAATTCCAGATTAGTCACCCATTATATCTATTTGAAAGGCCGAAAGATCACTAGAGACCTACCCTACTAAATTTGTTCAGCAACAGTATAGAGACTAGTAAGACATTTGATTTTTTTTTAAAAGGCACTTTTTCAGTTTCTTTCTAAGAAACAATATGTATGACGCAGGCAATAAGGCACATGAAACTATTTCTGGAGGAGGAAACTATTGAACATTACTGTTTACGTCCTTTGGGCTAAACTATTTTGGAACAAATTTCTGTCTTGTTTATGTTTCAACAAAATCTCTCCTGTTCATCTCACCTACTCAGATGCAAATCCACTTAATTTAGAATCTAACCAAGATTTATTGTTAATGTATTAAGCATTGCTAGTTAAATATTATTCAAATGTAAATATTCCCAGTATTCTTTCTCAGCACCAAAGAAGCAGTTTCTTCTTGTGTATATCAAATGAAACAAATCTCACCAGACTGGGAGTGTCTTGAATTTTATGAAGAAACTACTGCTCAAACTGCATTATAAAACAAAAATTGGTTTACTTACATGCTGACACCAGAGGATTAAGAAACACGGGCACTATATGACCACCTCCGGCCAAGGAGAGTTATCAGAATTTGCAGTATTGAGCACCATGGCTTTCCAGTTCCCCAAATTAATCTTGTGAGGTTGTGCCATTACGCTTTTTAGTGACTTTGCACTGCTGTACCTTAACATGGATACTGTTCCACACTGCAGTTGTCCCATAAAGCTCTACATCACCTCCCAAAATTCTCCTCCATACCACATGCCTCCTTCATGAGCCAGAGAAATCATCCTGCTCCCTATTCTCACCTCCACTCTGTTGCACAAACCCAGTAATGTGGGGAATGCTTCTGCAGTAAAGTTCTCATTTTTAATGCCTCCTATTAGGCACAATAACATGAACTTCAGTCTGAGACACATGCTTCTGGAAGTATCAACTGGTTATCCCACTATTTTTGAGAACAATGTTGGAGTTACTCTACTACTATTGTCACTACTACCATGCTGTAATTGGAGCTGGTGCTATACCAATACATTAAAGACAAGAGAGAACATCTTCACAAGTATCTGAACTGTACCATCTTTGCATGCAAATTTGGCTCTTATGTCTGTTTTGACAACGAAACTGTAACATTATCAACAGCACCTAACTCTGCTTTTCAAAACAGATCTATGCATCTGTAAAAGTTAGTGAAACTCAGTGATACTTGGGGGTCCTCACTTAAGGTGAGGGCATGACTGAAAATATGGTGAATTTCAGATAAAAAAAAAGAGAAACAATAGCATTAAAGTGAACAAAGCTCAATGCTAAAAGCACAATGCAGATGCCTGTGTGATGACCTTAAGCATTCTAATTGTTTCATTCTCCGCTTTTCCACTTTTGATATTTATGCATTATCATGTTACTTTTTATTATGAGAATTTTATCAGACTCCTAGCCTTGCACAGTGCAGTGAGAAAACACGAAGAATCAGGATCACACTGGCTGCACAATATTTCTGACATCACCAAACTTTAAAGTACTTCATGGGGGGGGGGGGGGGGGGGGCGAAACCTCCAATTTTTTAACCCTACTTTTTTATTACCCTATATACATGTATCCTCCATCTATTAGAATTGATGCGCTCTGCAAGGGAACTGTATTTTCCAATCTCAGTTTAAATTTCTTCTTACCAGAGAGAGCTATAAAGGATACATCAATATATTCATTGGTGGAACAACGGCAACTCAACTTCCTCGGCTTCTCATTTCTGCACACTGGGAATGTACCATCTTTTATAATGTGAAATGGAATGCCTCATGATTTTTCTAAATGCACTTCTAACATATGTATGCCTGGGAATCTAGGGTTCAATAATGGAAAAGCTCTAGAGAAATGTATTTTTGCAGCTGGAGTCTGCCTGCTATAGCAAAGCCTTTATCATTGCTCTAAAATTAGAGGTAGGGTCACTGACAGTGAATGGTCAAGCCAATTTTCAAAACATTTTGGCAAGCTACATCCCAGGCTGTATTTTCAGGATTGCTTTAAGGTATGCCAGGCAACGGCTACAGGGAAAAGGGATGGTTCAACTGGCTACTCATTCTCACCACCTCTCCCCTGACCACATCAGGGAAAGATCTGAATGGGAATTAACCCAAGGGAAGCAGCAGAAATCTCTATTCAGCTGGATTAGTCCCCTGATCTGGTTGATCATGTAACCACATCAGGGCCACTGCAAGCTCAAAGGAGGAGGTGAGAACAGGTGAAACGTAGCCTCATCCCACTTGGTTGCAACTTACAATTTGGATGGCTTAAAATGGCTTCAAACCTCAATTGCAGAGACAAAAGAGACACACCCACATTTATGGAGTTACGATAGGTCCTCGCCCTTCCAACAAGTAGCTTACCAAGACCCCTGGTGTCACGACACGGCAGTACTCATTGTGGAGGCCATGAGTTGCAAACCACTCGTCTCGCAAGGAAAGATCACCTGGAAAAAAAGAGAGAGGAAGAGTTTCACCAACAAGAATGCACAGGCAAGCATCAAGCCACAAAAGCAGGAATCAAAACTCGCTCTGAACCACTGACAAGGGGAAGCCTCTGCTCAGACTGGCAAGATTTGTCAGCACCAAAAAAAGCCACCATCAGACTGAAAGAGTATGGAGATGCATGCTGCACATGGAGGGGAAATAGGTCAGACCTGCTTTAGCACTCCCACATTTGAGCCAGCTGGATTCCCATGAGCTCATCTGTGCTTAGAGAAGCTGGCACAAAGCTCAGACATGTAACCTCCCCTTCTCTGCACCCATCTCTCTTCAAAGGCTCACCTTCCCCTCACTATGTGCCCAGCAACTTCTGCCAAACCCCCGTCCTTCATATATACAACCTCCTCCACAGCCAGACAACATGTAAATAAAAACACCAAGCATCAGGTAAAGCCAGGTAATCGCATCTAGGGGAAAACCAGGTTTTAGAAGGAAGAAGCCCTATCTACTGTTCTGGCAGTTCCTACTTCACGTCATTGTGCTACACTACAGGGAGAAGGGAATCCAACTGCAAACCTTCCCAACTAAGATACACGGTAAGTTTGCTTAAGATAGAGGGGTTGGCCCCATCTCGCACTACGGTTATTTCCTGTAAGGCCAAAAGAGCTCATGGCCCAGGAACTGATCAGCCACACTTTGAGTAATGGAGACAACTCTGCAACAATTAATGTTCACTTACATGTTAAAGCAAGTTTAAGTACCCGAAAGTTCAGTAATACAAGGAAACGTGGGCTCTGAGGAATGGCTTAGTGGTAAATTTGATGTCAGTAAAGAAAAACAGAGCAGCTACCTGCCAGCTTCTCGCTCACCCACTGTGAAAACTGGAAAGGCTGCAAAAACAGTATGAATCCAGACAACATTCACACTGGCAGGACCAGCATGGTCTCTTGGAGCACTCTCAGCTATTTACACAGCATGGACAGCCTTGCAGTTTAAGTACGACTGCAAACTGAAATTGCTACCAGAGGTTTTCTGTGTAATCCCAATGCATTCTGCTGACCAGATCTCCCAACAGGAACACAGGAGCTGTTGCGACGCTCAATTAGTTACGCATTGTGAAACCCTGTGCACATTCTCTTCCCTCCAACATTCTCCAACTATTATCTACTGCAGCTTCACCTTAATAACATAGCAATGTGCTGCCATGTAATCCACTTCAACAAAACTACAAAAACTAGTCCCAAACAATGCAGCTACATTCTCCACCCAGTCCAGCCAAATCAAACAATGAAATCATCAAGGTGATAGACCATCCTTATCTAGCCAAGTCACACCTGCAGACAGAAGCTGAAACAAACACCTACCGCAACAAGCTGCTTCATCCAGTAAAACCTACCACAGCAGCACAATCACCCCTGAATCCAATTACCCAGTTATATCTCCTCTCCCCATTCCCCCACCCAATGAAACAATACCGGCTAAGCCATGCCAGTGCCAATGACGACATACCTCTAGCAAAGCAGGGACAGAAATCACCTTTTCCCTTGGAAGGGAAAACATGTCAACACCAGCACACATCAGGATGGAGAGAATCTGTCAGGGCAAACAGTTGGAGCTCTATTGCTTGAAATATTCAAGTCCAACGTGGCAAAGCACTGGAGCAGGGCAGCCTTACAGACCATAGTTCAGGACAGCAAGAGGGACACAAATGATCAGACAGGATCCATCTTTAAAGTGCCCCAGATGGTTATTGCAATGTAATTCCACCCCCTAGTTTACCAACTCTGCTGCTCAGCTGCATGGTTTTAGCCTGCAGTTGGCCCAAGACAGCTTGCTTCATGGTGAATTTAAGAGCAAAAGGGTCAGAGCGTGTACAGAAGCAGCTACCACAGAGTAACCAACAAGACACAAAGGCACGTCTCAGTTTACCTTTTGGTAAAGTATTCATGAACCATCCCTGTACTTCTATGAACTAGCCACCACACTGCTATACTGGAAACAGGAGGAAAAAAGAAACATCCAGACTAGCTTATTACTCCTTTATGCCCTTAGGCTGCAGAAGCTTGATAGTGACAAGTGGTCAGGTACTTGGACAGCATTATGGCTGCTTCAGCAGGAACAGCTGCAGCTATCACTGATTCAGTTCAGTCTTTTCTCCCTCTTTGAGATGGAGAATGTGGAGAGATGAAATAAAGGCATACCAAATAGATAAAAGTACCAAACTTGTGGCCTTACTGTGACATGAAGCATTAAAGGCAAGAAACCTCTTTCTGTGTGAACAAGAAAGAGCACACTTCTTTTTTCCCCATGGCCTTTCTGAGACTTTCAGTCTGTGCTGGACTGAGGGTGGTGAGAAGTCCAAAATCAGAATGGAAAAAGAAAAAAGGCTGGAGACCTGCTGCCACAGAAAACAAATGATAGCTCTGAACGCAAGCTGAGCCAGCACCCTGGATTGTAGCTTTGACAGTGGAGTGGGCAAGAAAGGAGAGAGAGAGGAGTAGGAGACTGCTCTGGGAAGAGCAGCAGCTTCAGGAGGGACCAAGAGCAGCAGCACCAGCAGCAGGAGCTGTTTGAGCAACCGCTCATCTTGACAGCCACTAGGATGCAAACATCTGCATGTGCATCCACCAGTGGATTCCCCGTGTGACCAGAGAGGTGGGGTAAGGCAATGAATCAACCGATGCTCTCCTTCAGTGCAATTTTACTGGGAAAGGCACATCCTATTTCTCCAATTCTCACCCAACCATGTAAGAGGGAAAAGAGCTGCACTGGCAAAAGGCAACTCCATGACACCCAAGACACTCCAAGAGCTACTGCTGGTTTTCACCACCTGCTGCACTTACCAGTTTTGTTAAGCATATGCTTATTTTGAACACTTAGCTGAACTGCATGTTACTTTTTAATAAGCTGCTGTTTAATAAAGTACTTGATTACACACCTCATTGATAAAGAGTGCAACTGGGAAACAAGGAGGATGCAGGAAGTGTTATTCAGTGCTTTTATTGAACCGTCAGACTCCCTTAAGATCATAAACAAGTAAAAGCAAATAGATAAATTGACATGAGTATTCTACACCCCACACATCTTCCCCCGACACTTGAGGATACAGGGGTACAGGACACCCTTCAATCCCTTGAACCAGTCCCAGTTTCTGGATACGGCTCCTACTAAGGGCTTTGCACTACACCTTTAAATCTGCCCCCACCTCTTAGCAAAAGGTGTCCTCCTCATCCTTTCCCATGAATGCATAAAGCATGTGCCTGTAACACAACTAGTATTGGACCCACCACTGTTCAGACAGGTTTATCAAAAACGCTGCCTCACCTGTACACCAAGTGTGCGCTGGACCCAGGGAATCAATTTCAACCAGCCTAACTCTGTCCAACTCTACCCCTTCCAACCACGGCTAGCACTTGTGACCCAGATGAAAACTAACTCTAGAAGATGTGATTAGTTTTCACAAGACTAGCTTCCTGTTTCAGCCAGCCAGGTGGCCACATGCTCACTGGCGCTGGCACAAAGGAGGCAGCAGCTGCTGATGGCACAGGCACAGATAGGCTTAAGCTGGTTGTTGAAACACACTGGCATCCTTCTCCTGCCGGGTCCCTCTACTCTTTCTTAAACAGGGGCAGAAAAAACATCAGGTACCTAAAGAACTGCTGGAGCTAAAGACATGCATATTGATAATGTCGATACAAGACAACTCTGCTTGTCCAAGCAAGTCATCAGTAGATGGCCTGACCACCGACTGTGCCGGCTCTTTCCGTTGCAGGGTTTGCAGACCTTGTCCTTTAATCAGACTACACAGTTATCACACAGCAGACTTTCAGCTGATTTGCTCATGTGCTCCCTCTGCCACTTGCACCAATGGTACCTCATACCGTACACTGACCATACTCCACCCAAAACAGCTGTTGATTTGTGGAAAATACCATGTTCTGTCATTCCCTAGCAAGGCACATATCCCATTCACTTACAAATAACTTTCTCAACCTCAGTAGCTAACTTGTAAATATTAAGCTGATTAGATAGCAACTCACAGCCAGTCACCAATTTCTAGATGGTCCTAACTTACACTGAAACAGTATGGACTTTTCTACATTTGTCTTGGCAGTAAAAAATGATGCCATATGCAAAGTCCTCATGGTTTCCCAAAGCCAAGAATTCCTCCTTAGGCATGTCAGAGAAATCACTGCTACTCCCAAGCCTGCACAGCATTAACGTCTTTGCTCAGGGTATTGTACTAGAAGTGACTCTCAATCAAAAGAAGAATCAAGAATTTGTCACCTAAACTCATTCTGCTACATAAATGTGGGGACTACACAATCTTCACCAGGCTCATTACAACCTCTACAGAGAAAACAACTCTTCTTGTACACACGATGTGCATGCACCTCTCAACCTCTAAAGCAAGGGCAGGTTATTGCCCACAACTACCTTCATCCCTTGAAGCACAGAGAAAGGGTAAAAAGATAGGCTCACTTAAAATTAACACCTCAATGACCTACAAGGACGTTGACAGGGAAAGAGCAGGCAAGACCCTATGCCATTACAAGAAAGAGAAGTTCCTTCAATTAGCTCAAATTAAAGAACTTAGGATCATGGGATAAACCTCACAGAAACTGTAAGAATATACCTCATCACCCCCGTGCAAATTCAGCATGTGCACGGTCATCTAAACGGAGCTCTGCTGAGCCTACCTGTGCCTGTCTGTCCACATATCTTGAGTAAGACCGTGCAGATACTCTTTCTCCCACGCTTCCCACACCCTCCCCCCCAGCCCCTATCACTATCACCGACATTTCCCAAAGAATCAGTCCCTCCGGAAGCCCATTCAAAACAGGGACAGTCACAGAATTTCCAACTTTTTGCTCTCCATCCTTAAAAAGTGTAGTCAAGACACTGACAAAGCACAATACAAACCCAAAGGCTCAGAGAACAAAGCGTTTTATGACACTTCTCATGTAACCATCCCCTGCTCTCAGACAATGGTATCTCCACTGACTATTCTCCTTCTTCCTCCTTCTGAAAAGCACACGGATAACCAACAGCAGCCATGATGTAAAAGCTGTTTAATTAATTATTCTTTTTAGGTATTTACAGAAACCATTCTAAAATAATCTTTTGCAACAGGCACATTGTTCACTACACTCATAACAATCACTTTTAAGAACTGGAACACTAACACTTTTTGTCACAGAGACAACTGTATGTCCATTAAACTTTATTTTTAGTGCATCTAAAAACATTTCAGTGTGTTTTTAATACAACAGTGATGAACAGCTGTCCTAGACAATTGCTGATTTTGTACAACTCTTTCCACAACTCCTTCCCCAAAGTAATGGAGGAGACAGACACTTATGGACACTGTTGAGCAGATTCAAGGTATACACAACCAGACACTTAAAGTCCCTTTCAATTTCTCAGCTGCTATTATGTAGGGAAAAAAAAAAAAAAAAAAGAAAAAAAATTCAACAAAACCTGAATGACTTGGTCCACCTGGGACTAGAACAACATATTGGCAAATTCTGACAGTTCCAGAGATCAGTTTGGGGAAAAAAAAAAAAAAAAAAAAAAAAAACCAAAGAAAAAGCAAAGCCTAAGCTACAACTATGTGCTTTTGCACAGGAATGCTATGAATGCTTCCCCTTGCTGCTCACACCATTTCAGCTTGCCAGCACTGGTTGCATTTGCAGGTGCAGGTCAGGCAGACTGCTGCCAGGGCGTCAGGCACTCTGTCCCGTAACCCGTAGCGCGCCATGACATCACGCTGACCTCAGCTCAGCCTCGGCGTGCTCCAGCACAGCTGCCAACATCAGTTCAGCTCCACCTATGTTAGCAATGCTGGGAGCAGTCCATGTACCCTACGACTGGAGTTTTTAGCACTTTTCGTGGAGCGTCACTTACCTGAGCAGCAGCCTGTCTGCTCTAGGGTTCCTGCTATTCTTAACACTGATAAAGATCAAAAGCTCTAGCAGTAAGGGATTTCTCAAGAAATATTTTAACAGTATTTCCCTAACATATGACAAGGCTTCTGCAGCTTACTACATCATGTTAGCAGTTAACAGCCCCAGCATCACATGCAGGAGTCCGGTGGATAACGTCAGAGCTTTCCGCAGGGTGCTTTCATAGCTTTGCCTTCTGTCAAAACTTCATCTGCTTTTCAGGAAGTAGGCAATGTGTTCGGAACCAGAGGTGATCTCCCTTACTTCTCCGGGTTTATTGTTTCTAAAATTTAAATAGGGACATCAGCATGAACAACCATAGGTAAGAGACACCTGTACCAAGCTTGCCAGCATTCCATTCTTCAGAAACTAATCTGTGGAGAGGGAGAAGGGGGGAAAAAAAAAAAAAAAAAAGAAGAAAACAATGTAGAAATAATGGATGGGAAGACAGGACTGAAGAGACACCAGTTTGTTCTTCAACATGTAGTAACACCACACTGTTTAAGCAGAAGGTTTGGGATAAATAAGCCACATATCAGTTCTGCACAAAAAAAAAAAAAGCGCTCTTTTTCTTTTCATTTCAGCATCCTTTCACTAGGCTTCCAGAATGAAAGATAAGAAAGAGTCCGCAGGCATAATTCCTCAGGCTGCAATCTTGTCAATTTTCATAATCTAAATGGGGCTGGAATGGGTCAGTACAGGACAGACCTCCACAGAGGAAAACCCAGTGCTACAGCAAGCAGTAATTCCCCAATATGCTGTAAGGGGACATCACATACGACACCTCCCAGAATTGCTGAGGGTGGCCCACGCACCTCCCTTCATGTTAACCTTCACCTTAACGGGTGTCTGCTCTCTCTCTCTCTCCCTCATTCCAAACGATCAGGTTTTCCAGGCTCTCCCAAGCATTGCTACCTTCCAGCACTGCCTCCGAGACCAGTTTTTGCTCAGGACTGTCACCACCAGCCATCCTGCTGCTCTTCTCCCTCACACGAGCCCTCCTGCTGCTTTACAGCACCAGGCGCTGGCACCTGGGGAGCTCAGCACTGCAAACCAGGCATTCCCACAGGAGCAGAGCTGAAGAATTACTACTATACCCCACGCAGCTTACCACTGGGTAAGATGCGTGTCAAGGGGTATGCATTCCTGGTGCACTGAACCTCTCATTTCTTTCCTTTTAGGCCCACGTTAGGCATGTTAAATCTAGCACGACCTTTAGCAACGCAGCGCAGTGCTTCTGTACACTGGTTTCCTAGTCCTTGAATGTAGGATCTTCAACAAAGCAATGACTCTTCTCAGGAGTAAGGCACTTCAAAGAACTCCAGCCAGCAAAGACTGCATGTACACAGTGCTCCACGATGCTACATGATTATATCAAAGCTGTTGGGATGAAAAACTGACATTTGATAAATAACATGAGGTCACCTAAAAGATCTCAAAACATTGCATGTAAAAGTGTTATTTTGACAAGAAATTAAGCAACTGTATAATCAGGTCTATTATCAAATCTACTGCTTTGACACAATCTTATAAAAGTATGAAGAGCCTGCAATTCCAATTGCTGCAGGATCCTCCCTCACCCAACAGAAGATGTACATGTTTAATATTCTTCTAGTTAGCCACGCACGTACAGCAAAGCTTACCGTACTTCAAAGTATTTACCGTACTGTATAAACAGAGTGCTATTTTCAAAGACTCTTAACTGTCAAATCAAAGCTAGCTTTCACAAGAACATTCAGAAGCATTTCTGCTGGATGGTGGCTATTTGCCTGACAGTTTCAACTTTCCATCCCCAACCACAAGAAGGTTAAAAGATATATATATATATATATATATATATATAATTTTTTTAAGAGACAGAAGAAAGCATTTTCTTGCTAACAAGCTGTCAAGCCATTTTGGTCTGAAGCTCTCTACTCCCTTCTCATACATACATATAAAATGTGGTGGAAAACTTCAATTCCACTAGCAAAAGTTCCAAGAGTTTCTCCCTACTAAGACTGCCTAAACTCTCCATCGTAACAGCTCTCACTGTAGAAGCTGTGGCTGCTCACCTCAACAGGCTACAGCTTTGTTTTCTATTACCCTGCAAATACACTTCTAATCAATCCTCAAACAAAACCAGATTTGTACGTTGATAAAATACTGCCATTTCACAGGCAGTGGAACAGTGATATAAGACACCTGAAGAAGTCAGTTTTAGCAAAATGCAGAAAGCATAGCTCTGAGCAACTGAAAAAAGGTCTACTGCTTGATCTTACCCAGTGTTTTTACCAGTGAAGCACTAAACCAGAATTTTCCTTCAGGTTTTGCATAATTGTGTACACACTGCAAAGGTAGCAAAGATGGCTTCATGTAACATACACAAGCAGACTTAAAGATTTAGAGCAATTGTAGAGCGTAAGTAAGGTGGTCGAGTAGCTAAATCACAGGCACGTTAAGAGCCAGGTTCTGTTCTCAAGTTCACCACCAAATCCAACCTAACCTGGTTTTAAAAAAGCCCATGGGCCCCAGCTGCCCTACTGATAAGGTAAAACAGATACCTGCACCCCTTTGTTCAGAAGGCACAGAGGACAACAACAGGCACATGGAGACCATCCGGTGACAAGATGGGTCAGCGATTTAAAGCCCCCCTGCTCTGCTACTACGCAGACAGCCCCGCCAGAAAGCCAAGTAGCAAAAATACAGTGGCACTGCTTTCTTCGGAAGCCAAACAGCCATGAGAACAGGATGTCCAGCTCAGAGTAACTGCAAACGCTGGGAGCTGAGCAGGCAGCTGTACGGCTACCCGTGCCCGAGTCACAACTGCTCCAAACCCAATACAGAAAGCTGCAAGCTCTCCCACAATTCTATATGCAGTTAAATTATTGCATGGATCATACACTCTTTTTGCCATAGATTGTACCAGTAAGGAGCACTTAAAATCAGTATTGTTTTCATGACGACAGCACCCAATTTTCAGTGAACTCTCAGAGGACATTGTTCTACCACATCTCAGCTCGGCTTTGTTCAAAGAAATTATGTCACTGGTAAAACATACTTTCCATTTTCCTTCCTTCAAAAAGATTTAATTGATTTTGCCTAAGCTTTAAAAACAAACAAACAAGCCAACTACCTTAACAGTTCCACTTTTCATCTCCCTTCCCTATTCCACAAGCTCCTTCTCAGAGGCCAAACAAGGAAAAGCTCACCTCTGCTTTTAAGTCTGTCTGAAAAAAAGGTATCTTGGAGCACGTCTACCTACTCCAAAGAGATAACATTCATTCTTCAGATACAGTAAACTGCAAGTTCATAACAGTCTTTAAAATAAATTCAGTGAGTGTTGTCAAAGTAGATCAAAAACAGAGCACCGAGACCTGACTCAGCCGAAGAGCAGGTAAGAAGAAAGTCAGGTAGCAACAGTTTGCTTTTCACAATAGCCACAGTTTGGTAGCTCAGACCAGGTTTCAGGATGGGTCACCAGGATCCAGCCAGAAGCTTTATGCAGTTGAATGGCACATCTCACACACTGGCTGCAATCGAGTTTCCAGAGGAGTATGCGAGAACCCCACAGCAAACCCAGGCACAACCTCTGTTGCCCAACATAGAAGCACATCTGTTAGAGCAGAATAAAAATCAAGGTTTAGACCACAGGCTTAATACCTCTTCGAAAATTTCTACTGTCACTGATTATGATAACTGAATATTCTTCATATTCCTAGAGACATCTGATCCTTTTTAACTCTTGTTGGATTCTTGCTCCTGATGATTCTCACAGCATGAGTTTCACTGCTTAATTGCAACCATACTAAATAGTCTACCATCGATTTACACTACATGTTCTGTATCATCAGACAGTCTTGAAGCAGCAGAAACTTTTCCATAGCTAAACCACCATATTCTCCTTTTTACCCCATTTAAAGCTTCTTAAAGAAGGTTTCTCTTTTTATACATTGCATTTATGTTCAGAGATGAGAAACATTTTTGGCAAAAAGAACAAGGTAAGCTGAAGAAACTGTTCTCAGGCAAGGGAAGCTGTAACAAATAGGTGTAAATAACATTTAGCAAGTTTAGCAGACTCTTAGGGGTATAGTTAGATGAGCATTCCTTTTGGCAGCAACACCAGCTTAAAAAACTGCTGCTACCAATATTTACTTCCACCCCTGCACCACACTGTCTGATGTGCCCGTTCGCGTGGCCAAACAGTGAACCAGACTGGCAACCTGATGCAGGCTAAATATAATCATTTTTTTTGCCAGGCTACTTCTAATCCAGATCAGTTCCTTGATCCATTTCAGCATCCAGCCGCTCCAGCAGCAGTACCAGCACACACAGAGGGGTGGTGCAGTGTCAAAACAGGCAATGCTGAGGACTCCTCAAAAACCAGCTCCAGCACCAAAAGAAATGCTCACCACATACAAACAGAAGGCAGCCAGGCCTACAGGTAAGGGTATAGTCACAAAGTACAACCCTGCTTCAAAAATATGGATAATGCTCAGATTGAAGTCAACACTGGAACAGTTAATTTGGATTCAGCACACATTAAAATATTCACCTTATGTTTTGCTATTGTTGTTAACTAGTTTGTAAGACCTCACAGTCTTAAAGGCAACTCTTCAGAAACTTAACAACAGATGGGTTTTTTTTCTAGAGTTCTTCAAGATTATCCAGAAGTCCTAATTATGAATAAGGTCCCTGATACAGGGGGGAAAACTATGTTAAATACAATAGGCAGAGCAGCGCTCAGACAAAAGTTCACCAGTGAAATCTCCTTCCATTCACAAATTGCTGTAAGAACCTGAGTTAACACCTTCATTTTGCCAGCAGGAAGGCTAGAGGGACTCCAGCAGAGCATGTAAGCAGGAAATCCAAGCCCACAGCAAATCTTGCTGGGTTAAAGGACTTCATATCTATGTAAACAGACCACAGACCTTACTGAGGCACGGAGATTTCTGTGAAGTCCAAGGCCACACGAACTAGATAGAAGGATTTTATGAAGGCTGCCTGCATTGCTCTGATGAAATTCTGGTAAAATTCTAGAAGAGATCAAGCCCTGCTAGGCAGCAGAGCTGACACTTAAGATGGGCAGTTTGAATACTCACTTGAGTGTAAACTGCTCCACAGGATAAAGTTGTTGTGGTTTGGGTTTGGTTGTGTGTTTTTGTTTTTTTTTTTTCCCATTGAATTCATTAAAAAAAAAAAAAAATCCTAAACCAGTTTGTAAGGCAACAGAATTGACACAGCATGTCAGAAACTCAAGAGAGAGAAAAAAAAAATCTAGAAAGATACATGTAGAAATAGGCCTGGGAAGTCAACATATTACAGAGTAGCAAGCCTTTGAATAGCTAGCAAATATGGATCAAAGGTACTCCATTCCACCTCAAACATCTTAACTGTTCAGAAAAGCTGCTGTATATGAATATTTTAGCCTTGTGACTTATAGTTGCCTTAGTTTCTATATTTGGACATTCAGTGACAAATGTAGTTTCTCTGGCTGTAGACTAACCCTAACTGAAAACAATCCAAGTACACGAACTGTAAGGATGAAATGCAAGATGGGGGGGAGGGAGGGGGAGAAGCACAGGGAAGAAAGAGTCCACACCCTTTGTATGTATAATATACAAAAGAGATCTACAAAATTTCTGGTTGTATGAACAGAAACCTATTTCTTTTCTTTCACATTAAAATTCAGGTCCTGCCTAGCTTAGAAGACTGTGTTGACCAATAAACAAATTAACTGATCACAAGAGAGGAAAGCAAAACATCTCCCCAAAACCACAAAAACCTAAGACACCTAGACGCAAACCCCTAGCCCACAAAGAGGTGGTTACAACAGTACGGTCATAGTCTAGCTACTTCCCTCACACCAGAAGAGACTGCAGTTTCTCCCCAAACATCTTCATTGCATCTACAAGCTAAGTAATCTGTATTGGGAAAACTGTACTGGGAATTCAGCAACAGAACTTCTACCAAATACTGCCAAAACCAACTACGTATACACACACACAAAATGCATCCCCAAAAGAAGTTCTGATGTTAACCTGACCAAAGATGAGCAGCTGAATGGGAGGGGGACTTAGACAAAAACTTGTTTAGGGTGGGGGGTTTTTTGTTTGGTTTTGTTCACACTTATTTAACGTCAATGATTGATTAACATTTTGGATAAAGGAGGTCTTTGTTAGTGATTCAGCATCTCCACCCCTTCAATTAAGGTGTTAAGAGTTCACAACAGTGCTGCGAGACCCAAGATCTCCAGACCCCTCTCCACAAAAAAAAAAAAAAAAAAAAAAAAAAAAAAAAAACAACACCCACAACCCAAAAAACAGATCAACAAAAATACCCACCCCACCCCACCGGGAAAATTCCAAAATCCCAAAACTGACATCGTTGCTAACTCCAACTTAAAAAAAGAAAGCTGCCTTTCTTTTGTTGTTTGAGGAGGGGCCAGCAAGGGAGACAGGGAAAGAATATGAGCCCTTGAGCCATTTTTATGCTCTGAGTAAGAAAAAAGGACACATTCATTAAAAATAATCTCTTTAGAGATCACTGTTAAAAAAAAAAAAATAAAAAAAGAAAATCACAACAGCACACAGCAGAGCCATCATGCCAACTTGTCCAAAACGGCTATAATATCTCACCAAAGCAACTCCTGTGATTCCCAGGAGAAAGCAGACCAGTCTGCTATGGGATATGGGCATGTGCATTTCTGCTAGTCCAGCTCTGCAGCAAGCACAGGATGAACACAAAACAACTGTGTGTTAGCCTCTAACTTCACCAAGTCAACACCTGTAACACCCCACTGTAGACTGCATTCGGGCATTACAGCCCTAATATAAAGCAGGAGAGATGTAAACAAAAGGC